ACAGTTGTAGTAAGAGATGTTTTACACGATCAATTTCCTCATATGCCAATTTTTTTTTATCACATTCTTCATTGGTTTGGGATGGCTTATATTTTTTTTAAAGCTGCTTCTAAGAAAAGTTGGGGACTTAATTGTGTTTGCTAAACGAAAGAAAAAAGTTTTTTTTTTTCCTTTTCAAAATCATGGATTCAAAATAGCAGAAGCAGCTCTATACATAATTCTCACAAAACGTTTTTTTCATTGGAGACAAGTGAACATAAAATAACAATAAATGAGATTTTCATATTGACAATCCTACCCTATCAATTTTTTTTTTCTTTTTCTAAAAGTACTTTTGAGTTTTTTTTTCTTTTTGAATGTAACTATTTGAGCATAAACAACCTTTTGTTTGCTTTCTTATTTGTTGTGTCATTTCAGTAAAAATCTGAGCTGTTAAGAAAAGCAAATTATTAAAGCCACTTATATTAATAGTAATGATTTTGTTTCCCATTTCTTCGCTACACATATCATCACTTTGTCTTGAGTTAGAAAGTACAGAGTGCAGTCCTGTATCACTATAGAGCCCACATTTTGACTGAAACATAAAACTTAGGCCCAAGTGTTGGACCCGGGTCCATAGTGGGGTTCACAATACGCATCCGGATTAATTTTTGAGTAGAGTTAAAAATCAGATCTAACGTTACAAACATCACAGTATAGTGATATTCAGCAATAGTTTTTCGGTGATGATATGAGCTCATCCACCATGGTCACCTATTGCATCTCTACCACCAATGACGATAACAACTACAGAGATGCACCAGGCGATGATGATCACCTTCGACAAATTCGCCTAGTCCACCTCCATCGCCAATGAGGACGATGGCAAGTTGGTAATTGGTGAGGCTGTTATTGTATCGAAAAACCAATGCAAGATGAGTCATCTTCACTTGTAAATAAGATATCTTATATTTAAATATTACGAATACCAAATCGATACCAAATTATCGTTCACCTCGTATGTTCTATAGCTAATCGCTCACCTCAAAACCATTGTATTTGAAAAAAAACAAAACGGCTCCCACAGTTTTTTATGTTTTTTTTGTCAAAGGCCCCCACAGGTTTACGTTACCAACGGCGAAGGAGTTGGGATCGGTTGTACGTCTCTCCGGTGCGAAAGAAAGAATCGAAAATTTTATCGCTACCCGTAACTCTCAATGGGCCCACCCACTAACTCTAGCCACGCCCATTTTAATTTTTGAAGGGCCCCACTAGTCACTTATTCGAGAGCTAACAAACAAGCAATCCCCACAAACCCTAATCACATAATTGGGCCAAACCCAGAGACCCCACCCCTCTTCGGAATTGACAAAAGAGGTAAACATGGTTCGATTCGGTGCGATTTTGAAAATACTCGATAATTAACATTGTCTACTTGATATCGCTTAGTCGAAAAACTCATTTAGAAAAGAACATCGTTGTATATAAAAATAAAATTGTATAACTTCTCTAAGATTTGATCTCTCAAGTCAAGGAAAAAGTGGGGTGAATTGCACGAATGCTTACTCAGATATGACACAGAAAAATAAAAAATACAGCAAAGTAGACGAGCCTAATCATTTAGCTCGTTTGATAATTTTTTTTTTTTTTAATTTTTAGTTTTTACTTTTTGTACGTGCTTGAGACTCAAGAAAAAAATATATGAGGGGAAATGATAGGTGAAGAAGGCAATGGGAGGGATAGGAAGAAACAAAGAAGAACGGATGAAAATAAAATCTAATATTTTTTTATTTTTTGTTTTAATTTTCATTGTATTTTTTTTCTTATACAGTTCTTCCACCGCTCTCCCAAAATTCTTCATTCACTATTCTTCATCCATCATTTTCTATGTATTTTCCTTCTATTTATCAACACAAAAATTAAAAACGAGATGATTATAAAACGCATTTTCTAATTTTTTTAAATATTGTATCAAGAAATAGAGTGTGAAATGTAGGAAAAACAAAGTCAAGAATAGGATAGATTTACCATGTTAATTCTGGACCAACTTTTTCATGTTGCGAGGACATGGCCTCTATAAAAACTTGATTATTATTGGAGTAAACTGAAAGTTCTAGACTCTGTAAACTCTGGGGTCCCAAAGCTAAATTGTTCAAAGATAACATATAACTGACGACATTTAAATAGTACTGGGAAAGACCAGACATTTTAGACTAAACTCAAAATTTGAAATCCGTTAAAGGATGAATGGATTAATATTTCTACTATAGAAATGTTATGGAGACCCTTTTAAAAGTAGGATTCTCTGTCACTTCATGTTTTTTACACAATGTTTTATAATGTTGACACAATAATTGACATTAAACTGTGATGTAGCAGAGAGTCCATAAAGAGTCTCACTTTGAGAGAGTTCTCTTCGCATTACTCTTCTAATTATGTGCAAAGAAAAGTAAGTGTGTACTACACAAGTAATGTAGCACATGTGATATGCTCATTTTATCGTATGTATACTTCTTCTGTTCAAGGTATTTTAACTTTTGCTTCATGAAATTTTGGTATTCTCCCAATTTTTAACCTAATCTAGGTTAATCAAGAGGATGAGTCGTGGAAGTGATTTTATCATACAACAGGTTGGTCTTACTACGAAACGTACTAATTGTCGTTGGCGAATTCAGAACTTTTTTTCCTTTGATTGGGCAAAGTATAAAAGCTTGGTAGTCATTGTCTAAGTTTCCTTATTTGGTTGGTAAGTTCTAGCGATCGTGCCGCTTGAGAGATTAAGGTAAAAAGTTAGATGGAGAGATTTGAGTGAAGTGAGTGAATTTCGGTGAATGATTTGAAATGAAGAAGAAAAGCCAAACATAGTTGATAGTTGGAGTTGAAAAGTGTATATAGCCGCGCGCTATCTTGTTTTACCCAACTCTTGAATGATAATTCAGTCAGCAGTTTTTTTTTAAATCTAAGTTTTAGATTTTTTTCAAGTATGATTTTAAAGTTGATTGTTGAAGTTGAAGTAAGTATTTAGTTGCGTGTCATTCTGTCGTGTTCAACTGTAGAATGATAATTTAGTCAGTAACTTTTTCAAACTCGAAGTTTTAGAAAGTTTCTTTTCACGCAATGGATCCTAGAAAAACCTATAATTTACTCCGCCTTACTAATTGCAATTCTTCCAATAAAATAATGATATACTCATGATTTACCGTTTGTAATCACGTTTTCAATCACGTAAAAAGAAAAGATATATCCGATATTACATTAACAGTCTCTCAAGTCCAGAAACAGCACCAATAATTTGTGCATAGAAATTACCAAAATATAAAATATATAACAATTTTGCATGGTGGTGAATATATATATATATATATATATATATATATATCATGAATGAGAAACGTAGGGATGAGCTCAACATTTCCTATGAGTGCGTGCGTTTATTTCTGCGTTCCTAATTTCAGTCCACACAGAGACTTTCACACAAAGTCCAAGCCAGCCACGACAAAATACACCACAAAGACTCTTTGCAAAAGACAAAATTCTATCTGTTTGAGAAATGGGATGCCTATTTTATTAGAGAGAAGGCTAATCATATGAGAAAACTACAAAAAGAAGTCTATTAAAAAGAAAAAAAAATGGAATTTCTGGGTTTTGAGGCTCTGCGGTCAAAACCACAGTTTCTTATGCACACGCCTCCTTTTGTTTCTCGAAAATATTGGCATATGTCAGTTTGATCACGTTATTTGTTAGTGATTTTTAAGTTTTTTACAATTATGAAGACCGTATAAGAGCGGTGGAATACAAGTATTGAAATATATGAAGTTTTAAGAAAGGATAGTTTGATCATGTCATTCGTAAGTAATTTTTAAGTTTTTTATTACTATGAGGATCGTATACGAACGGTGAAACTCAAAATATTAAAATATAGGAAATTTGTAAGAGTCCTAAATCTTACATTGGTTGATTGAGGAATTTTGCATTATATGTTTAGTTACTCCTTTTATTATCGATTACTCGTAAACTAGATGGAGGATTACTCCAAACCTATAACCTAATTGTCAATTTCCTTTATGAACTATCCTTTTAGCTATTTTACCCCGATGAACTCGATATAATCGGCCAATTCAAGACTTTCGTCAATTTTACAAATGTCCATTACAACCAAGGGTGGATTCACTCATGTATGCGGTGGTCCCAGGACCACTCGAAAGCCCGAAGAATCGTATGTGAGAACCTTTCGAGGACCATCCAACAATCTAAGCACGTGTTGAGAGAGAAGATCACCATGGATGTGCAGATGTTGTGCAATAGAAACTTTAAACCAAGATAAAAAATCTAATTTTAGACGAAGAAACACATGGCTCTGCTGTTCTTGAACCTTGGTAGAAGAAAGACTTTCTCTCTCTATATTTCATGTGACCAACTCCTCATTTTTCTCTTTTGTTTTTTTAATTATTGTCCAATCAGATTGTACCACTTAGTATTTAATTAATAAAGATATGGTATACTACTCAAATAATACTTTTTATATCATAGGTTTGACACTGTTAGTTTTTTTAATTCACTATAAATTCATAAGATGTCTGAAAAAAAATTTGTAACGTATTACGAACTCATAGTCACTTAAACTTTCATCGCATACCATCAAATTCACTACTAAAGTAAAAATTATGATATTTTAGTATGCCATATGTTAAATAATATACCTAATTAAAATAATAAACTCAAATTATCAATACAATTATAGTTTTAGACGCTTATTTATTAGGCATATAATAAATTTAATTAAATTCGCCTAATATACCTAAATCCTTATTTAGACCTCATTTAAGTACATAAGCGCTAGGCCTCGACTCGCCGCTCAACTAATGTCTAATGTATTATGAACCACCCGATATTGAAATTATGAATTCGCCATTGATTACAACCTCTCATTTATATTTATGAGAATTGTCTTCTAAATGACATGACCGGTCCAGCTAAAAATTTTATCTTGTTTCTCACTCTTTAAAAGGAGAAAAGGCTCACCAAACCCAACCCTTCTCTTTCCCTTTAAAACAGGGGGTCTAGTTCCTTCTCATCTTTCACTTTCTCTGTTGGCCAAGTTGATAATTCCTGCCCTGATGTTTTTTTCACAGGAATTGAAAACTGAATAAAGAGGAAGTGAAGTTGATGGATGGAATGCAAAACCCACTAAGCAAAAGGTGAATTTTTTTTTTCTGAGAGAGAGATAGAGAGAACTTCTTTTGCTGCAAATCGCAGAGCTGCTCTCTTCTTATATTTCCCTGCCAAGATCACATGGCATGCATGCCCTTTGTTATGATGGGAATTTGAGTCCCAATTTTGTTCCAATCCCCCAAAAAAATAACTCCAACTGAAAAAAATCCCCACTTCAATTTGTTTTTTTTTTTTAAGCTTTCAGCCATGGAGGCCACTGAGATTTAGCAAAAACCCATTTCACATTTTCCCCTCTGAGATTCTTCCCTTTCTTCCTTTTTCTTCCTTGAAAATAAAAAAGACCCTTTAATTTACTCTACTTTTCAAACTCAAAGTGATTTTTGAGGCAGACGTTTGTTTCATAGCCGAATTATTGACCTAGTGAAGTAAGTACTAAGTTCTCATATGTGCTTTCTTTGTTGTTGCTATAGTATCTCTCATGGCAATCTTGGATTAATTTTGCTCTACTTTTGATGCTCAAAAGTGCTTTTGAGCGACGTTCGTTCCATAGCCGGACTATTAGGGTAAGTTCCCAAATACCGCTTTTCGAATATTGTTACCATCTCTCATGCATATCTCGGATTAATTTTTTTTTTCCCTACTTTGCGGTGATTGATTTGATCATTCGCTATAGAGCCAAGTAATGCTGAGGAACAGATCCAGAGCAGTGGCCAGCAAGCAACCTCTAATGGCGGATTCTCAACCATCTCCAACTCAAAAGAACTACTCAAACATCCCATCTTTTTTCGATTCTCCAAGGTTCAGAGCCTTCACAATAAAGGGCAGTTCTGAAAACGATCCAAATTTTATCAGCCCAACTTCAATTCTTGACACTACCAGGCCATTTGCTTTCGGAAAAAACCCGTTTTCGGGTGATCAAATCCAACCCAGAACCCCAAAAACTCAATCCGGAAACAAACCCTTATGGGAAAAATCTGAGGCCAAAGGCATTGGCCTTGCTATGCTTCAAACACTAAAAGATGAAAACTTTGAAGACAAACATTCAAAAACCAGTAACAGTAAGGTCCTGTTTGGCACTAAGCTCAGAGTTCAAATCCCCAAGACTGAGAATTCCCAGTTTTCAGAAACTGGGTCTGTTAACTCAGGCACCCAAACAGAGAACCCGAATTCGGGTTCGAATTCGGGTTCATGGAGTGGTTGCGTGAGTGAGAGAAGTGAAATGGAGCTTTCTGAGGATTATACTTGTGTGATTTCTCGTGGGGCGAATCCGAGAACGACTCACATATTTGATAACTGCATTGTGGAAAGTTACCATACTTTGTCAGATCAGTCGAGCTCGTGTTCTGCGAATTTTCTTAGCTTTTGTTACACATGCAAGAAGAACCTTGAGCAGAAGATTGACATATACATTTACAGGTTCGTTTCAATGGCCCCTTTCTTCCTCAGATGATTACTTTGAAACTGTTTTTGTAGCAAGTACTTTTGTCCATAAGAGCTTTTGTAAGTTTTTTATTAAAAGCACTTGTATGTGCTTTTTCTTAAAAGAATATCCTAGAACACACTTCTACGACCTACTACGATGTTTATAAATTTTTCTGTCTAGCGTAATCAGAAGTGCTTTGATCGTCAAAAAACACTTTTAGCTTTTCTAAAAGACGTCTCAAACAGGTTCTTAGTCAATTATTAGAAGTTTCATGTTTGAAAACGAAGTTATTGGATTGCATGCTTCTCTTAATCATCACAAAAAGTGTATATACAGCTTATTGTTTGTTTAGTGTTTCTAATTCTACTTTTGATGAAACGTTTATAGCCGTTGTGTGTATCCTACCCTTAACTCATTTTTTCGATTGTTTTATTCAAATAACGATTCATTGTCTGTTTAATGTCTCGTGTAGAGGTGAGAAGGCTTTTTGCAGTCGAGAATGCCGCAACCAAGAAATGCTCTTGGATGAAGTTGGGAGCACAGAACTTGATGATACATTTAGGGGTTGTTCTTGAATGATTGATTAAACAGACCAAAAATGTTTGGTTTTACTATTTAAGTTTTGTATTTGCCTTTTTTTACCCTCTCCGCTGCAGATAGAGATAAGAGAGGATGAGATATTGTAAGTTTGTAGAGTTTTGATTTTATTTAATTAATAACTTATTTGATTTGTCTTTGCTACTCTTCTGTTTAAGTGAAACTTGCATGCAATCGAGATGCTAATTCCTCATAACTATCACGAGTTGTTATGTATTTGAACATGTTTACCTGACATCGGGTGATATACTTGAAATATCGACGTCCCGATTATATGTAAAATTTGCTCCTCCCCACCTGCTTTGGATGGAAGACTCAAAACCTGCCCAAACTTTTGTTTTTTCCAATCAATCATGCTATTTAAAACTGTACAATATACAGAGTTGAGACTTGAGATCCTCTCCGATCTTATTGTCTGAAAGGCAAAGGACCAGCAAAATTCAGACTACTTAAATTAAAACTGGCAGTTTCCGTTAATTCATTCTGATAGCCCACCTCACATAAACTAAGAATCCATGTTCTTTCTCTTTTGAACGGTCCAAATTCGTTAACCCTTAGACTTTAAACAATGAGGTCCTCTCATCTCCAATAAACACATCAGAATAATTAATAAGTGTCGACATTTTGATCGGATAAAGTTAAAATAAATAGAGAAGAAATGGATCCAAAGTTACAGACCAATATTATACTTTACTCGATGGCCCGGATAATTAAATATCGGTAGCAGTTGAGAACTATGCAAATTGCAGAAGGTAGTCCCAAATATCGAAACTTTTACTATCATTTTTATTATATTAGTTTGCCCTATCATTACCAACTTCTCTGCTTGCAGCATCCATCATACCATGATGGTATACAAATTGAGAGATTCTGCTGTGTATCCGGGATATCATATTTTTCCGTCGTCTATGATCATGTGGGGATGTATTAAATGAGAGGTATATCTTCGATTGCACAACATAAGTTCTTGTGTGAGTAAGCAAAACTTGTGATGGATGTATAAGTACAGAAATTACGTTGTACATCTGAAGATATATCCTCCTTGTATCAACAAACTTATGGTGGATGCATGGTGGGTGGATACAGTATATCTTAGGTAGTTAGGTTACACAATAGATTCTCGGTGTAAATGAGCAAAGCTAACGACGGATGTATAAATGAAGAGATTATAGTGTATTCGATAAAATATCTTCTTATATCTATCTCTAATATCACGAGATGAAAGTATAGAATAAAGATAAAAACAATAGAGTATGTCCTCGGTTGCAAGACAGAATCTCTTCGCATGAGTGAGCAAAGCTAATGACGAGGCCAAGTTCCAAGAAAAGCCAAAAGCACTTTGAAGATGTGATGAGGGTAGGGGTAAAAGAAGACTAGTTTAGGCCAAAGGGGTGCTTAAAGGGATCGAAAAAAAAGGATGGCTGTCTGTCAAATTTGGCTTTGGCAGTCATCCCTTTCTTCTGTTCACATTCCACGCCTATACTACAGTGAAAAATTGGACCACAGAGCAGCAATGATTGGAGTGAAAAAAACTGGGAAAAGGAAAAAGAACACTCAGTTGCAATAATTCAGAGAAGCAAATTGCATACAAATTATCGAGAAGGGAAATGATAAACACGCTTTCTCCTTTCACACCTTGGATTGGATCAATAAACCAAGACAAAAAATAATAAAAAACAAGTGTGCATGATGATAGAAGGGGTACTGCCATCACTCCCCTATTGAAAAACTATCATGAAACGAGAGACTCTGAAGTGGCCGCACATCATACATTGAAACACGTAACATGTTTAAGATACCGCCCCACCTAGGCATCCTTGTTTCACGTAAGTCACTTTCCTAATACTCAAATACTCTGTGGAAGTTTTAAGAAAAACCGCAGTATTGTTCACTTTAATGAAAAATCATATTTTTATATTAAAAAATCAAACCTAATACTATTTACTTTACCTTTTATTTTGTCCTTATAGTTAAAACTCAAAATTTTTAAGCCATTTTCATTAATTTTCCTTTAACTCTCTGTCCAGCAAAAATGTCCGTATGGGGCTCGAAAGCAGCGGGTTGTGACACGGGCAGCTGTACCCAAAATCTCTCCGAAGAACTGCCAAAATCTCTCCGAAGACAATCCTTCGGACTGAAATTTTTTGTGAACAGTGTCAAGTTTCAAATTCTCATAGCAACAAAACATCACTAACTCGCAGATTCAAACCCTTGAATCTGTACGAATCAGTGAGCGCAGTAATAAGCTTTCGAACAACAAAGCACATAAAAACTGTAAAGATAAATAATGTAAACTTCCATAAAATTAAAGTACGGATCTGAAAGACGAAGATAAGCAAGCTAGCATCGAAGTTTAAATTAGACAACAGAAGAACAGACTCAACATTGAAATTTAAGTAGACGATATAAATGGCGACCACATATTTGTCCGACGCTACAATACTCCACCCGACAAAGACAATTGTCCGATCGATGGAATCCCCGGTACACAAGACAAAGAGAGATTTTCCACATATCATCCATTCCTCAACACAAGTGATGATATACTGGAACTGCATTTGCCTTCACCAAGGAACCATCATACGCGTAAGGGACTACATCATGAACTGCTAACGAAAACACCTCCAGAATACTTTCCCAACTTGCACCCTGCTTCACGCATTAAGAAGATATTAGTTACAACTGCAACAAACTATAGAAGAATAGTTGGCAAGCAAAACAATGAAAGGGAACCTGGAAAACAGATTTATTACCTTGTTGATGGCAGGGCGAGATTAACAACCTCCATGGATGAAAACGATGTGAAGACCACAACCGGCACAATTCATTTACAAGAACAACTCAGGACATCTTACAGGACAGAACCACAGATTGACCAACCCTAAAGACCTGAAGAAGCAATGAAGCAGAAGTACGAATGAACAATCACTCCCCCTTCCCTCTTTTCTTTCTTAAAAAACAGAAAAGATGGTGAAGGGGGCGGAACACCCTTTGATAAGAGCGTAGTTAAAGGGGTTAGATTGTTATCAGAAGTAAAGAACGTTACGTTGAGTATGAAGGCAAACAAGGCTATAACAGCAAAGGCAGAGAGTTTAATGAAAGAAGATTACCTAAGCAGCTATTGGGACAATGCTGAACTACGGAACAAAGAGACTAACCAATGTTAGACTATTTATACGGACACTAACTCTAAATCTTAAGGAAGCAAAGACGCAATGCAGAAGAAAAACGAAACCTATAGAAACCAACAGAGCTCTTATGGACAGATCCCTACACATTATACAGTATACATACAAAAAACGAAACGAGACACCTAAACCTAACTCTAAAAGGGTTAACAAGAATTAGCGAACTTGTGAGGGGATTACATTAGAACATTCAAGTCTAATGTAGTTTCCCTCTGCTTTCATATGTAATGACGAGTTGCACAATCCCTCCCATTCCAGATTGCTGGCAACCATCCGCTTCAAAAGTACACGCCTTGTACCACTATTTCCCTTCTGCTTCCTTAAAATTTCAGTTAAGTTCCACGTCGAAAATCCCATATCACACATTCAATGTCAGTTTTTCCCAACATTCATCTCCCGCATTCCAAAGTGCAGACAACATCCGCTTCGATAGTACAAGCCTACCACTATTTCCTTCTGCTTCCTTAAAAATTCGGTCAGTTCCAACCATGTCGAAAATCCCGTATTACACGTACCATGCCAATTTCAGAACAAACCATTCATCTCCCAATACCAACTCCACATCCAACATCCAGAGATCGTTAACCCACCACAACCATGACTTTAACTTGTAGCACCACCACAGAAAACTAAACACACTCATCACAACCCCCAAGACTACCAAGTCTACCAACCAATTTATTCATTCTATAAACAACCTAAACCCTATTTACAGGAGCCTTAGTGCTCCATCCGCCATTCATTCATCGTCAACATCGAGATTCAGAATGCGACGCAGAGTCTTGGTCGCGGAGTCAGCGTTGTCAAAGAGATCCCTAGCAGCAGACCCACCATGCTCCCTAGTTGGGGATGCAGGTGCAGACTTGGCAATTGGGTGGTGCATTTCGCTGTCAGCGGGCGACTTGGGCAATTCGAGCGACACGGTTCTCTTGGGACGGATTGAAAACTTGGGGATTGGCAACGAATTCGGTGGGGGAGAGTTGGAGTAAGCCGGGCCGGCCCAGAGCTCAGAAAATGAAAAACTTCCATTGAAGTGCTTGCCTTTCTTCGAGTTTTTGACATTGATAGCAATTGGGGTGCTTTTACTCAGTGTCCTGCTATCGGACTGTGAAACTGGACTAGGTGTATGCGTCTTGTTTGGACTAGGTGCAGTTATCCTAGGAGAAGGAGAAGCAGAGCATGCTCTCTGTTTGGATACAGGAGTAGAGCAAGCCTTGGACGGGGTAGGGAGCATACCTGACCCGGATTGGAAAGTCCGGCAATTGATCCCTCGGAAGCCCTTGGACGGCGACGGGCCGACTCTGCCCGGGCCGTGTGACTTCCCCCGGCTGTAGTACTGGTTCTTATGCTGCGCCACAACATGAAGAGTCTCCATTACCAAAGATTCAGTGAGTCAAAGAGTATAACTCGGCCGAGTCAGTCAGATTTTCAGAGCAAACGACTAGATCCACTTCTACAACTCAGCCCCAGGGCTCAAAATGCTCAAAGATTACAAATTTACGGTAATAATCGCACGGAAAGTCAGTCCAATCGAAGACCCAGATCCGGATCAGATTCAGATCAGAAAAATCACCTATTTCTCTGTAAATCAAATTATCAAAACGGAAAATTAGATTCAAGAACGGCGTAAAAACGATTACCCAACACACGAAAAACACAACCCATGAAAATTAAACATTCAAAACGAAGACCCATGATTATTTTCTCGAGAAAGTGATGGAAAATTACCAAATCGAGCGAGAAAATTCTCACTTGGACCAGAGGCAGTAATCACCTCTCCTTCTTTGCTCTGCTACTGGTTCTCGCGCACTGATTTTTTGGGGATCGGAATGAAATGGGGAATTGAGCCCCGGAGAGGAGAGAGAGGGAGAGGAGAGAGAGAGGAAGAAGGAGAGAAGAAGAAAGCACAAATCTGAAATGACTATCTACAGTTCTTGTTTGTATATAAGAAATGTACAGTACAACTGTCTTGTTAACATAGTTAAACAAGTGGGTCTGGCTTTCGTTGGATTTACGGGAGCCGAGTTGTCTGTTTACTATTATACCCTAAGCAATTTCCCTTTTGGGCGAACAAGGATCGTGTGTGATTATGCAAATCCTAAATTGGAACTTACGTAACTATTTAGTATTACGATATAGTGATATTTTGTTACATTAATAAGTGAAATGTTTTATATTCAATTCTCGGCAAGACGAATTTGAACTATATTAATACTTATTATATTGTGAGGTTAACAATCCCCTTCTCTTTAATGTAGATAATATCGTTTATTTAATAAAAAAAATGGAACTTATGTCGTAGCTTCAAGCATAATCTTTATCCTCAAATCATATATATTCATCGTATATCGTGTGATCATAAATTATTTTATTTAAAATTAAACATTAATAATATCCGATAAAAATTAATCACATAATGTACAATCAAAGAACACAATTTAAAATTTTTTAAAATTCTCACAAAAAAAAAATCTGAAGATGATCCTCATTCCACAATTGACTAGAGGAACAAAGATTGGTCACTAAAAATAGTTTTATTTATTTATTGTCCTATCGGTCTTATTACGTCCCTCTTGATAGGATTGATGGTTCGAAACATGTGTTTATGTAAAAAATGAAAGTGTTGTAGTTGATGTCTTGTCAAACTTGTGTTTGAAGGTAAAGTTGCTTTGAGGATTCTCAAGATAAAGGCAGATTCTCTGCCCTCCTATTTTTCGTACTTTTTCATACTTTTTTTATTTTGTGTGATCACGGTTAAATCACGTTAATATTTTATATTAATATTTTTTTTAATTTTATTATCTTTATAAAAAAAATAATATAAAATGTTGACGTGTTTTAACTGTGACCACACAAACATGAGGGCACTGAAAGTGGGAGGGCAGAGAATCTGCCTCCTCCTCAAGATTGCTTCTTTGATGGTCACTTGCTTATGAGATTATTGTGCTGAAGTTACAGCATTTGAACATTTATCAGCAGTACAACTTTGGACGCTAACTTCATTTAAGTGCAGAAGATGCTTAGTATCGTCTTTAGTTACACGTATCTGTAAACAATGCGAGTAGTTGACTTAGTTTTTTTTATCATAATCTTTTTTGTTCCTTACTCTTAAACAATACACTCTTAATATTGAGAATGTTAGAGTCACCTAAATCAAATATCCTATGTCTTTGAAAAAATCAAGTATAGTACGAATTTTTACTTGTGAAACAAACACAACCTATCAATCTATCAATCTTCTTTTTATGGCCATGTATAAATTAGAATGTATTTTCTCCTAAATTCATGCAAATAAATAAATAAATATATCAATTTGTTGTGGATACCATTGCTTTAAAGGGTCTTTTGTATGTCAGATGCAAGGGTTTTAGGAACTTAACGATGGAACGGGACTCCAGGCTAGTGATTCAGGCGGTGCCCACCTCAAAACAATTGTGGATGATATTAGATGGCTAGCCTCTGATTTTCATTGCAAAAGGTAGAACCATATCTTCAAAGAAGGAAACTTTGTGGCTTACATTTTAGCTCATTTTGACCTTACTGTAGCGAACCAATATTTTTGACATTATTGTTTACTGATTTCGGATATGAAGAGCTTTACATTTTTATTTTTATTTTTGAACAAGAGAGCTTTAAATTTGATTGTATGGAAACGGTTATATTCGAGATTTCAAATTTTAATTAAATCTCTTTATTTATTAAAAAAAAAAAAACCTATATTAAAAAACACAATAAAAACCGATGAGTGATGAGGGCATTTTGGGGAACCTGGATAATTATGAATGAAAAAGGTCGGACCCACGAGAGTCTTGCAATAGAATGGGTGGCTAAAATATCGGGTACAAAAAGATAAAGTAAATTAAAAGATAAATAAAAAGAGTTGTTGGAGGCTTTTTGATTTCTTGTGTAGTGGGTTTGGCAACCTACACGTGTCCATCTTTTTGGGTCGGTCACATAAAGTCACGATTGAAGGCATTTTGCTCTCCAACTTTAGTAGCATCTATTTTATTATTAAATTATAACTTTAATCTTTTAAGCTATTATGACTTTTATTTTTTTTTTCATAATGTGTGATTTAATTTAAAATTTTAATCTTTTACATATATTGCCGTATTAAAAAGGTGAATTATCACTGGCACCTAAAAATTCTCATTATAAGATGAACAAAAATATATATGGACTAAGAAAAATTAAAAATTAAAAAATATTGTACAATTAGAAAACCGTATCCAAGCACTAGTCTGCGCTCATTAGACTTTAAAAACTTAGCGAACTGAAACATTTGAACAGTTAAAGAAAGGGAAATCAACTTAGACCCGTTAGTAACGACAAGTAAAAGCGGATTGGGGGTTTTCGTCTTTTTCCCAACGAATAAATCCCAAAGTAGGGATCTTTGCTTCGGCGGGTGGGTTTCAAAAGTGAAGCTCCCAAGAAAACATTCCTAAATTTCCACAGTTACCATTTGAATAATTATAAATGTGATACAAGAATTAAAATGGGGATGTAGCTCAGATGGTAGAGCGCTCGCTTAGCATGCGAGAGGTATGGGGATCGATACCCCACTTCTCCATTTTTTTTTTATTCCCTTGCCAATTGGCATGCATTATACGACACCGTTTCTTCAGATAGTGAAAAGTCAATCATGTCACCCTCAAACCAAGACTCAACAATGCTAGTTTTGAGGTCAACAGGGTCATAAAAGTCAAATTACCTCTGCCTATAACACTCATAAACACACACTTTAGGGTTTAGACAAATGAAATTAAGTTTTTTAACTTTGGGTCCATTTTAATCAAGTGTAAACAAAAGATGGCATAATCTTTCCATAATTCCTTTACACTTAATTGTAGTGGTAGGTACTAGGTAACAAACAAGACATGTTCCTTTTAAATATCTTGTCTTTTTTTTTAAAATTAAATATATTGTCCTTTAAACCGATCTTTGGTACATCTTAGTCATTCATCGTGTATTGTGCGGTCAGAAATCATTTGACTTTTTTTATTTAAAATTAAACACAAATAATATCTGACAAAAACTGGTCGCACAATGTATGATAAACGATTAGAATGTGGGGATCAAAGTGGATCTGGAGAGGATCATCTTCCACAATCTTTGTCCATTTTTTTCTCTGGTGTTGGTCTTATATTAATTTTACTAATTAAAATACAGTTTTAATAATACCCTTGTGGTTATGTTTTAAATTCAATTTGAAAACAAATACTTTAATTCAAGAATGGTTTAAAGGTTACCACTAAAGGGGGGACAGATGGCTAAGTCTCACAATGAGCTAGCGCTAATGTGGTTCAAATTCGCATTTACGAGAATCGAACCTAAGACCTATCACTTACAAATAAAAAGGAATACCACTATACCATAATACAAAGTGGCTTAACCAAGTTTAAATACTTTTAAATGACTTTCACTATTTTGGATGGAGAGATAACTTGTAACTAAGATTGATAAAAAAAATTGTATGTGTTTTTGTTTATACAAATAATAACGGGTAACGAAATGATATCAGATGCAACTACAAGAGTAAATCCTCTTAACCACGAAAGTGATATTAAGGGTTCTTTAGTGGGCTAAAAATTGGATTCAAACAATCCATTTGGGATCTATGTTTAATCTACAACAACATGGGCATTTTAGGGCCCAATTTTTACAACTTGCTGCAAATTCCCTCATTAAATTATTACTTTTGCAATTGAGCTGCAAGAAGCAAACTGTGAACAAAGTTGAATCCAAATTCTTCTTCAACTGCTTCGCTGCAGAAAAAAAAAAAAAAAGGGATACTTTGGATGCGGTCCCTAATTCTTAACATTCTTTGACTAAAACCTTAATGGTATCCAAAGTTTGATCAAAGTCCCTTGACTTTGTACAACTCATTATATTACAATTAATATTTATATTTTTATAGTTTTGACATTAATTGTTTGATATTTTATGAGATTTATAATCCTATAAATTTAAAATCTCTCATTATAATACTATTAAAAACGATTACAATAAAAAAATTCAACCATTTTGATTGAATAAATGGATAAAAACTATGTAAAAATAAGAAATAATAAATGGCAAAAGAATGTATCCATAGTGTTAAAAAAATTGGTACATTTCACATATAACAAAGTAGTACATTAATAAAGAAGAATGGGTACATTATAAATAAATTAGGGTATAGATAAAAGAATAAACAATTATGAGTACAAATGATTTTTTTTTAAAATATAGGCGCTAAAAGAAATTAATACATGGGTACAAAGTAAAACTAAAAAGAAAATACTACAAATTTAAAAAATGTTGCAAACTAAAAGTGGGTACAAACTAAAAATATAAATTTATGATACAAAGTTTAGGCATAAAACATAAATATACCATATGTAATTTTTATATCATTGATTAAATATGCAAATATACTAATTGTAACATTTTTAATACTAAAGGAATATATTTAAAAATAAAAATATTTTATTATTCAAATAATTAATGATATTATTAATATCCAAGGACCTTGATCAAAAATTGAAAATGAATAGGATTTTAATCAATGAAGTAGCAAAAAGAAGGATGCGAATCTAATTTCTCCAAAAAAAAACCAGCAACCCATGAAGAAGAAAGTCCACCCTTCGTCCCAAAAGCGTAATACGTTATACGACGTCGTGACATCCTCTTCCACGCCGCCAAAGAAGCTCGGAAGAAGACTCCCCCACCTGTTCGCCAGCGTCCTCGAGCTCCCCTTCCACTCAAACGCCGACGTTTCCATCCAAAAAACCTCTGACTCTTTCATTTTCTCCGTCTCCATGCCCACGCATGTGCCGTCGCCCGCCACCCAACGAATAACTGGCGACCACGTTGCTGTACGGGCTCACACGATAGAGATTTATCCCGGAGTGACAAAGACTGTGATAAGGAAAACGGACGGTAGTGATTTGTGGTGGTTGGACGGAGGAGTAGTGGACGATCTTGATCTCTGGAGGTATCGGCTGCCGGCTTCGACGAGACCGGACTTGGCCAGGACTACGTGTACTGGGGAAGAGCTGGTTGTAACAGTTCCGACGAAGAGGAGGTTTTGGGTGAAGAAAATGGGAGGCTAATTCTTGTGCAATAATTAATATTTCTCTTTCAAGTTGGAATATCTTGCTATAATAATGCATATGAACGTTTCGAGATCAATTTTTCAAAATTATTTGTTATTTGCTACAATATGTTTTGCATATATATGAATATTGTAATATTCATGTGTGATGAGTTTCAAAATTATCTTCATGCATGCTTGTGGAGACATGAAGTTAATCATAGTATGAATAGTAGGCTCTGTAGAGGCGTATCTTAAATCTCTCATATACTGAGTGAAAAGAAGTTGAGCCTTGCATGATGATGTGGGTTCAAACTCTATCAACGGCTAATCTAACAAAATATATCATTTGACAAAAAAAAAAAAAAATCTCTCATATACTGAGTGGTTTCAATATTGAATTAATTAAGGCTTTTTGTATATAAGCGATAAATAGAGGATAATATTGATATTAATTGATGGTAAATTACTGAATTGTATCTAAAATTTTGACAGGCTCATCACCTAAGCAAGAAGGCAAAAATAGACGTAGAGAAAAACAATTGAGGGTCAATTTACGGTAGGAGTAATATTATTTTGAGTAAGTGTACAAAATTAATACTATTGCGAATGCGCCCTTTAATATACTTACAACTCCACATCTTTTAGACGTATTATTTTTTTGTATTTAAATAAAACAATTATATTATTTTCTTTTCTCACAATAGTCTTTGAAACTCACTTTCATAGTCAGAAACGCTTGAAGCATCGTTTTGAATGAAGAAAAATTAGACCAATGTTACTACGCTATACAAAAACTTGGTTAATTTACACTCTAATTACGTCGGGTTGTTCATGTGCTTCGTTACATTTGCCTATGGTAAGTTCATGAACACATTCATCTTTATCTTTTGATTCAATTTCTTTGGATTGATGCTGGTGGATCGATATTAAAAAGGTATTATCATCAAAAGGTTTCTATTTTTATTACATAGTGGTGCTATCTACACATTGTTTGTACTTTTAACACATATATTATTAATTTTTGTTCTTTAATTATCTTTAATTTATTCGATTTGACACAAAAAATTAAGAAACATGCGTATAAAATAAAAAAAGGTATGTATAAATATCACCCACTCACAAAATATGGATGCGATTGCTATGAAAGTTGTAGACCCTAAACCCACCTTGTGCAAGCCACGCCCTTAGAAAATGACTTATCCTTTCTTGTTCAATTGACAAAGGAATACAAAATGTGGCCGTTTCCTTTGTAAACTAGGCTAAATCTTGGGAGGAGAAAAGGAAAAATAGACTTCCACTGATTTCATGTTCCAAGAAAATTCTCTCTTCTGCATCACATTTTAACTTTTTCTTGGATGCCAATTATTTATGATAAAGTAAATGGAACTATCAATTTTGTGTCATTGAACACTTTCACTCGAGATCTTGGAAATATTTGTATGCAAAGCCAAAATTCCAAATTCCAAATCCAAAATTTTAAACACTAAACAATTAAGATTAGGTCAAGAGCGCAATTTCATCTCCTAAGATGAAATAAATTATATTTCTTTGAAGTGACAATCAAAACTAAATACACTCTTACTGGTGATGTGATTGTGTCTTGAGACTGTTCAAATCGGTGCCCGACTGTGTCATCCATAACACTCGACTGTTGTAACTCACATCGTGTAAGAGTTGCCCTAACTAACTTATCGAGGCCAATTATAACACGTGTCAAAGTTCTTATGGTTGTATAAAGACGTACACCGACCCAAGTCCAAGTGTCGCCGGAGATTCTGTTCAACATGAAACATGGCGTCCACCTGTGAGCTATATCCAAAACCTTCATTCTCCATCCGCCACCTGTATACTTGAAGAATCCTGCCGTTCAGTTCTCACACTTATCCCAATCCGTACTCATACATATTCATCCTTCCTCAACAAATTTCATATATATATATATATAGTTAAATATTTTGCTTAGTTTGGAACGTACATTATATTGCACTACTTGTAAAATAACATTCTAAGTAACCTAATCTGTCATATTCAAGCCCAAAACATGAGCCAGGGACAGCCACAAAGACGCCGACCGGACCAGTCCGAGGTTCAGGAACCCATAAAATACGGAGACGTCTTCAATGTCTCCGGCGAATTGGCTGACAGGCCCGTCGCGCCACGCGATGCCGCCGCTGCCCAAGCTGCTGAAAACCTAGTCCTTGGAGAGAATCCGAGGGGTGGCCCAGCTGCTGTCATGCAGTCGGCAGCTACGTACAACGAGCGCTTTGGCCTTGTTGGCCACCTTGACTCCACTAAAGTCGCCCGAGAGGAAGGCGTCACCGTTACTGAAACAATTAATCCCGATGGCAACCGGGTTGTCACTGAAAAAGTTGCTGGACAGGTATATATTTTTCTATTTCAATTTGTATTATTGTTACAAGTTATTTTCGTTTGTTCTAGTTCCAACGTAAAACCGTATTGGTTACATAGAAAGGAGTCTTACTTCGTAAGCACATAAAGAGCACATGTCACACGTCATTTTATATGTATCACGAACAAACATGCATGTTGCGGGATTCTCATATATAATAGTAGAAGTTAACCTGCTCTGATACGATAATCACAAAAAGTCGAGTATTAAGATTAACTCAACTCTTTTTGTATATCTAATTGTCGATATAAAACTAATTAGGGATATTGACAATAACTAAAATTCTTTATAAGTACATGTAATTTCTCTAATTTCCCATCGGATCTCAACAGATAAGTTAGCAATTTTTTCTTTAACTTTGTACATATGTTATCTTCAGATATTTTACATGTTGTGTTTATTTTCTGTCTCACACTATATTTTAAGAATATAAGAATTGGAACATCTAATTGATAGTGAACGTTGTTGGCTTCAAAAAACAAAGTGAGCGCTTATGTATATGTATATGACTGTATGTATTGGTTACCTTCGTTTGAAGGTTGTGGCCCAATATGTGGAGCCACCGGTGCCAATGGCATCTCCAGGAGGAGCGCTTGATCGAGATGCTATTACAATTGGTGAAACGCTGGAGGCCAGTGCTCTGACGGCAGGAGACAAACCAATTGAACAAAGCGACGCCGCTGCAATACAAGCTGCTGAAATGAGAGCCACTGGACGCAATGAGATAGCACCCGGAGGTGTGGCGGGTGTAGCTCAGTATGCAGCCTCTGTTAACCCGCGCGACGTCAATAAAACGAAACTTGGTGACGTGTTAGAGGTCTTAACCTCCATGAAAGAATCGCAAAATTGAAGAACACAGAGAAGCTTAGAGGGAAGAAAGAAAGTATTTCTGAGAAAATCCCAACAGTTATTACAACTCAATTTTATCTAATACAAGGAAAATAATATTCTATATGGTCAATTCAACATACAATGGCTTATATCCTAAGCTACTGCTGATATGGCAGTTTTAATGACCTGGCACATATTCAATACACCTGGGCATATATATCCAATACTCCCCCTCAATCTTAGCTGGGATAGGCCAGCTTAAGATTGAAACAATGATGAAGAAAAGCTGGACCATGAAGACCTTTTGTGAGAACATCAGCAACCTGGTCTTTTGTTGAAACATATTGAATCACCAAGTCTCCTTTTTATATCCAATAAGAGGTACAAATTAACATTTAATTTGGTACATCAGTAATTGTTAGAATTAGAAGAAAATGTAGTACAACAATGAAGGATATGCTGCAATGACTATAGAGAGAGAGAAAAAATGAAAGCAGAGAATATGACTCTGCAATTCTTCACACACGCACTGTTTGATTGCTCACTTGTGAGAGAGGAACATCTCTCTACACTTAACAGTTACACTTCCAAACTTTTGGCAGTATTCAAAATTACATCCAAGTAATCCTAGCCATCCATCTTACACCCTATAAGATGAAGACACATGTACACTCACTTATTTAAGAACTATGAGACTTAGATAAGAAAGTATACAACATATTTAGCTAATCATCCTAGCAATATAAGCTAGAAATACAACTACCACATCAGATCACAATTTACACACTAACAGCCCCCTTTAAATTGTGAACTGATTTAACTCCAAGCAGTTCCCTCAGATAACTGAATTGTTCTCTTGCCAATGCCTTTGTAAAGATATCAGCAATTTGCTCTTTCATAGGACAATGCAACAGCTCAATTACTCCTTGCTGCAATGCTTCCTTTATGAAATGGTATCTCCTGTTGATGTGCTTGGTCTTCTGATGAAAAATAGGGTTTTTAGTGATAGCTATGGCTGAAGTATTATCACAATTCATTGGTGTTGCAACTGTTTGCATTTCACCAAAGTCCTCCAAAACAAATCTCAGCCATGTAGCCTGTGCAGTTGCTTCAGATGCACTAATGTACTCTGCTTCAGCTGTTGATAATGCAACACATTGTTGCTTGACTGAAGACCAAGAGAAAACTCCACTGCCAAAGGTAAATGCATACCCCGATGTACTTTTCATATCATCTTCTGAACCGCTCCAGTCACTGTCACAAAATCCCATTAAGATTGCTCCTTTGCCTTTCTTGTATTCCAAGCCAAAATCAAGAGTCCCTTGAACATATCTTAGTACTCTCTTTGCTGTCCCAAGGTGCTTGTTGGTTGGACAGTGCATAAACCGTGATAGCAGACATGCATCATACATTATATCAGGTCTAGTTGCTGTGAGATACAACAAACTGCCTACAATTTGTCTATATTGAGCTTCATCCGCAGTTCCACTTCCATCCTTTTTTCTCAATTTATCACTTGGAACCAATGGAATACTCACTGACTTACAGTCTTGAAGTCCAAATTTCTTCAGTAGAGAATAAGCATATTTTCTCTGATGAATGAAAATATACTCCTCAGTTTGCATTACTCCCATACCAAGAAAGTGATGTAAGAGTCCAAGATCAGTCATTTCATATTTGAGCATCATATCAGATTTAAAATCATCCATCAATTCCTGACAACTTCCAGTGTATATTATGTCATCAACATAGATATACACTATAATCATTTCTGAACTTTTCCTCCACTTGGTATACAGAGTTGCTTCACTAGTGCTTTTCTTAAACCCACAGAGTGTAAGATATGAGTCTATTTCACCATACCAGGCCCTTGGTGCCTGCTTCAGACCATACAGTGCTTTATGTAACCTGTAGACCTTATCTTCTTCCCCTTGTACAATAAATCCATCCGGCTGATCAACATACACTTCTTCTTCTAGTACCCCATTCAAGAATGCCGATTTTACATCCAATTGAAACAACTTCCATTTGTTCTTTGCTGCCAGGGCAATTAATGTTCTGATTGTATCCAACCTTGCCACAGGTGCAAAGGTTTCATTATAATCAATTCCGGGCTTTTATGCATAGCCTTTTGCAACAAGCCTAGCCTTGTTCTTTTGAACTGATCCATCCAAATTCAATTTAGTTTTGTACACCCATTTCACACCAATTACAGGTTTATCAGATGGTCTTTTCACTAATTCCCAAGTCTTATTTTTCTCAATCATGCTGATTTCATCTTTCATAGCTTTCTTCCATGCTTCATCCTGTGCAGCTTCATAATAGGATTCTGGTTCAACAATACACACATGACATCTTTCATAGATTTCACTCAAACTTCTATATCTCAAGGGAGTATGATCAATCTGAGATGCAGAAATTAAGTCACTAGCACTTCCAGATTCAATGAGTGGAGAATATGTAAGTTGAGTCTGAGAACCTTCAGCAACAGCTTGTTCCATGGAATCCGAATCCTCATCAGCTTCTTTCATCTCTGAAGATTCACTTGCAGTAATTGGAATGTACACTTCTTTGATCTTCTGTCTATCCCAATCCCATGTACCATTCTCATCAAAAATAACATCTCTTGAAATGATTACTCTCTGATTTTCAGGATTAAGCAATCTGTACCCCTTTTCACAAGTGCCATATCCAATGAAAATACCAATGACACTTGTTCCATCCAGCTTCTGTCTCAGGTTTCCAGGAATAAGGGAATAACCTAATGAGCCAAACACTCTCAAGTGTTGAATTCCAGGTTTTCTTCCACTGAATTTCTCAAAAGGTGTCACATTTTCCAATGCTTTTGTAGGACATCTATTGAGCAAGTAAACAGATGTAACTACAGCTTCACCCCAAAGATTATAAGGAAGACTTTTCTCATGAAGCATACACTTTGCCATCTCCACTATAGTTCTATTTTTTCTCTCTGCAACTCCATTCTGTTGTGGAGAGTATGCAACAGTAAGCTGCCTCTCCAAACCCAAATCTTCACAAAACTGTTCAAATTCATTTGAGGTAAATTCTCCTCCTCTATCTGTTCTCAATTTCTTCACTGAAAAACCACTTTGAAGTTCCACCATAGCTTTGAATTTCTTGAATACATGAAAGACATCTGACTTGTGTCTCAAGAGATATATCCAGCACATCCTCGAATAGTCATCAATGAATGTAACAAAGTATCGATTTCCACTCATGGTTGGTGTTTGCATAGGGCCACACACATCTGAGTGTATAAGTTCCAATGGCATTCTTGCTCTCCAGATTGACTCCCTTGGAAATGACACTCTATGATTCTTACCAAATGCACATCCTTGACATACACCTTCACTGTCATGCATTTCAGGTAACCCAAGAACCATATCATGCTCCTGCAATTGTTGCAAACTTCTAAAATTCAGGTGGCCAAACCGTTTATGCCACATTGTACTACTCTGATGCACATTGGTTTTCAGTACCAAATGATCGTTTGACTTGAACACAAGTGGAAAGCATCTGTTTCCCTTTTGTTTCACACTAACCACTAAATTTGTCAAGGTTCTATCATAAAAAATATCCACCTTATAATCACCAAATAACAGAAAATACCCATGTTCAGTCATCTGCCCAACACTGAGAAGGTTTTCTGCAATTCCAGGTACCAACATAACTTCTCTTATGTACCTTTTTCCTTTATCCGTGTCAATGACCAAGGTTCCTTTGCCTTTCACATCAACAAGAACCCCTGTGCCAACTTGCACTTTTGCCTTAATACTTCTATCAATTTCCACAAGTAACTCCTCTCTGGAAGTCATGTGATTACTGCACGCACTGTCAATATACCAGGCATCACTCACAGCTTTCACTTCAGTTGATTGCTTGACCATGAAGAGATTTCCAGGTTCTCCCACCTTGTTTGTAAAGTTCCTTTGCTCTCCCACTTTGTTTGCAAAATTCCCTTGCTGAGCATTTTTGTTTTGATTGCAGATCCTAGCAATATGACCAGGTTTTCCACACTTGTGACATTTAATCTTCCCTTTTAGCCAACATTCACCATAGTGAAGTTTATCACAGTATTTGCATGCCCCTCCAGTGTTGTTAGCTTCATTTCTTACACTTGGAGTAAACCTGTTAGTCCACTGCTTCCCTTTGAACTTGAAGTTCTTCTGATATTTTGATCCACCAGTATTGGTATGTTGATTACCAAATTTATTATTCTTAGATGAGATATCTAAGCTAGCAAATGCACGTTCTGTGCTACTCTCTTCATGTCTGATTAATCTTAGTTCAAACCCTTTCAATATGGCAACCACATCTTGTGCATCAATTACATCAATATCTTTAGTATTTTCTATAACAGAAGCAATGCTATCATATGTTTTGGGTAAACTGATCAATAACTTTTGCACAATTCTCTGATTACTAAGATCTTCTCCATAGCTTCGCATCTGATTTATCAGATCAAACAACCTAGCTAAATATGCAGCTAGAGATTCACTTTCACTCATACGGGTATATTCAAAATCACGACGCAGACCTTGTAATTTCACAGATCGTACCTGTTTGTCCCCTACATACTCTTGCTTCAGAATATCCCAAGCTTCTTTCGCAGTTTCCAAGGTTGCAATGCGTGGAAAAATTTGATCCGATACGGCTCCCTGAATGATTCCAAGAGCCCTTGCATCCTTGACCAGATTTTCACTCCGCAACTTCGTTTCCACCTCAGTGAGTTCTCCTTCCTCTTTCGCTGAAGTGGTAAAACCTTTTTCAACAATATTCCATAACTCGTGAGATCGGAAGATTGTTTTCATTCGAATCTGCCAGAAATCGAAATTTTCTCCGTTGAACATCGGAGCTCGAAGCTCCCCTCCACCAGATCCAGCCATGTTAGACTTAGATCACACCTCTCTCTACTATTTTCTTTGCAACAATGTGTTGCAAACACTTGCTCACTATCTCTCACAGAATCGACGCCCAGAGATTCAGACCCAACCAGGCTCTGAGGCCATGTTAGAATTAGAAGAAAATGTAGTACAACAATGAAGGATATGCTGCAATGACTATAGAGAGAGAGAGAAAGAATGAAAGCAGAGAATATGACTCTGCAATTCTTCACACACGCACTGTTTGATTGCTCACTTGTGAGAGAGGAACATCTCTCTACACTTAACAGTTACACTTCCAAACTTTTGGCAGTATTCAAAATTACATCCAAGTAATCCTAGCCATCCATCTTACACCCTATGAGATGAAGACACATGTACACTCACTTATTTAAGAACTATGAGACTTAGATAAGAAAGCATACAACATATTTAGCTAATCATCCTAGCAATATAAGCTAGAAATACAACTACCACATCAGATCACAATTTACACACTAACAGTAATTATGTTTAACATTCTAGGGTGTTTAATCAATTTCGTTTTTCTTTTCGTGAAAATAATGCAGGATGCAACTGAGAAGTTGCCTGCGGACAAACCTGTGACTAGAGAGGATGCAAAGGCGGTGATAGGAGCAGAGATACGGAACAGTACAAATATGGCCACCACTCCAGCCGGAGTTGATGAATCGCAGGCAGCAGCTGCTGGGCTTAACCAGAATGGGGAATAAACTTATTACTACTATTTCAATATTGTACATATATGCATGCATGTTAAAGTTCGGGGGTAAGAATATGGGTTGAAAGTTTTCTGTGTGGATAAGTCGCGGTTACTTCTGTTGTACTACTACGTTTCTACAAGAATGTAAACATAAAAAAAATCAACCTTGTAATGTAAATACCTCGTTTAATGTCAACATGTTTCTCTTGTTTTGTTAGAAATGTTAAACTTTATGATGTTATGCTGGTAAAATGCAATCAAAGCCAATTTGACTAATAGTCATATTTGACGGTGCAGATTGTTATAATCAACTTTGATTATGTCTGTATTGTGAGACGTGATTTTTATCAGAATATATATTATTGGGTAGTATATTATTGTAGTCAACTGCACGTCTACGTTGAGCTAAGGCACAAAACTGAAGTTCAAGACTAGTGGCACAAGGGTGAGACACTCTGTGGGGTGTAGCAGCAAGTAGATGAATCATTTAAAATAAAACCAAATAATTTAGAAGGAATAATACTAATAATTGTACTCTTGTTTGAGGAAGTTTCTCTTGCTGTTGCCCGTTACATATGGCTTAGTTGGCTGTTGGTATTTGGCTTCGGCAACATAATTTGATCCAGCAGACATCCACGGTATCACTAAGATCTCAAGATCATGTATGCCAAAAGAACCTCCACCGAAATTGCTTCTATTGTAATCTTCTTGTGTTTCCCTCCTTGCTTCGCACAATCCTTTAAGTCAGTGGAATGAGAGAAACGTTATGATAGGTATATACTGACACGGTGGTTTTTTGAGATTTCTTTTACATGCCACTGTATTATTAACACGATAACTCACGGTTAAAATATATGTTCGTGTCATATGTAAGTTATTCTCTAATAAAAGAGATCATGCATGTATAAATTATTCGTGTCAAATAGGTTTAGTTTATTATGTACTCTGGCTTACTTATAATATCCTGATGACCACCTGTTTGGGCCCAAAATAGCAGTTTGGGCCGAGGGAGGAATCACTCTCGGCCCGGGAAGCCGTACGGCGAAAGGGTCATGGAGCGCTTAGCTCATGGGTTTCCAAGACTAGGTCGGTTAAATCAGAATGCAAGTCGAGTCCTAATACAATAGGGACTCTCGACGAGATCAGTAAACTAGAAAGCGAATCCGGCTCATTTAAGGACTGGATTCGTAGTCCTAGCAGAGATAGGACTGATCGAGGTAATGTTAATCCGGAGAAGGAAACCTAGTTCGAATAGGATTGGAATTCGGGCTCGGTGTTCTGCTACTATAAATACAAGACATTCAGCAACGGAAAAGCCCTTCAACTCAACACACAATTGCCCTGCGCAAACTCTCTCAACAACTTGAGATTTTTATTTTCCTTGTTCGCTGACACATCTTCCGTTGGCATCAACAGCACTGTGAAAGCAACCGGTGACATCTTAAGTCGGCATAGATAGCTCTGTCATCGTAGAATCAGTCGGTCTCGCAGTATCTTCCGTTGGCATCAACAGCACTGCGGCGAGGACGGTTGGTTATCTATCCAAGTCTCGGTCGAGAAGGATTTCTGAATCCTTATTGATTGAGGTCGTCTTATTAGCTTTCTCGGCAAAGTAAGGCGTTACATTAGGCTCGGCACATTGCACGCCGAGGTTGTTCATGATTGGATACTCACAGGTGGGATTTAGAGTTCGGCATTCCAACGGCCGAACCACGTTCATTATCAAGACTTACATTCGCTTTGAGTACTTGTGCCCTTATACTCTGGTGTCAATTCGGCGAGAGTTTACTCTGACGAATACCATCACTGTGACCGAGTCCGACGACGACGATTCGTGAACTTCGTAAGAATAGTAACCTTGTCTTCAGGTTCGAGGACCCAAGAGGCCGAGACACGTTCCTTTCTCGGCCGCAATCGCAAGACGCAGAAGTCAGCCGCGCACCGAACGCAACATCAACAAATTTACTCCTCGGCCGAGCTCGGCCGACGAGTTGGCACCCCCCGCATTCACCGAAGGACGTAGTTAGCTCATTAATTACTCGGCCTGCGCGCCACGTAGGCTTTGTAGTTTTTAGGGTCAACATTTTGGCACGCCCAGTGGGACCCAGTGCTAAACTACGAAGTTCATGCCAATTGAAACATGATCGGTAAAAAAGAAAACAACTATGGGAAAGTCGACAACCGATTTGCCGAATCAAAGCCTGGGACAAAGTGTGCCGCAGGCGCAGAATCCTCTTAGCGCTGTGACACCTGAGTCCACGAGCGCGACTCGCCGAGAGAGAGAAGTTAATCTCGGCGGTCAACTCCGTGGTTTAGAAATCCCTAACAGAAACACATGCGTTCTCAATGAAGGGATAGTAGAGGAGTGTGACGAGGATGGTGGTGAAGGATCTGACCCACCAACAAGGTCGTTTCTTCGAAAGCGACTGGACAAGCAGTCTCGGTCAGTCGAACAGACGTTTAGTCGAGGCATTGACAAGCTGCATGACGCGATACTCAGTTCCAATGATCGACAAACCAGGCTGCTCGAAATGCTGGTTAGTCAAGTTGGTGGCAGCAGGCCTTTCGATCTTCGCCAACCTTGTTTACCAGGAAACAACCCGGTACCGATTGTACCGGCCGAGCCTATTCCTGCCCCGCTCAAACCAATTAACTTGGAGAAAGGAGGAGGGTCGAATAGTAGGTCAGACGGGACCGACCAGAGGGTCGAAGCAACACCTGTTGATATGACCGAAGTTCAGCGGATGATCGACTCGGCCATGAAGAAAGGGCCGAAGTTTCCCAAGTTTATTCATCCGTACCCAGCTTACGTGGAGACGTTTGGATACCCGAAGGGGTTCAAGATCCCAGATTTTAGTCTTTTTGCCGGTGAATCGTCCCTGTCTTCGTTGGAGCACGTGGCTCATTTCACCGCGCAATGCGGAGATGTTAATAGTGATTTCCACAAGTTACGGCTGTTCAATTTTTCATTGACCGGCTCGGCATTTGCCTGGTACATCAATCTCCCGCCTAATTCCGTCCAAAACTGGGAGGAGTTGGTCGAGAAGTTCCACGAGCAGTTTTATCGGCCGGGGATGGAGATGTTAGTCTCTTCATTAGCACGGATGGCTCAAGCATCTGATGAGTCACCAATGGATTATCTTACCAGGTTCAAATCGGCTAGGAATTGGTACCGAGTGCCTTTACCCGAAGTCGAATTTGTCAGGCTTGCTTTGAACGGCCTTGACATCGAATACAAAAAGAAATTCTTGGGGGAAAATTTCCGGGACATGTACGAATTAGCCCAACATGTCGAGCAGTATGATTATTTGCTCCGCGAGGAAAAGACTTCGAAGACTCCAACTCGGGGAACGATTTACAAGAACCCTACTGTCAATTATGCATCAACCGAGGATGAATGTGTTAGTGTGGATGCGGCTGAGATAGTAATAGATAAGCCATACATTTGCAAGGCATTGACTCAGGTCGATTCTAGAGAAGCCAAAAGTCGCTCGGCCACTGAAGGAACATCGAAACCGTCAAAGGTTTATACTTTTGATATTACTAAGGCCCAAGGCTGACGCAATTTTTGACCAACTGTTATCAGCAAGAATCATTAAGCTTCGGCCCGGTCATAACATTCCTAAGGCCGAAGAGCTTAAAGGAAAGGTGTATTGCAAATACCACAATTCGAGCAAACACACGACAAACAATTGCGTCGTATTTCGTGATAACGTCCAAAGCTGGATTGATAATGGCAAACTGAAGTTTCCCGAGAAGAGGATGAGTGTTGATACTGATCCGTTCCCCACGGCAACAGTAAACATGGTCGACGCATACCTACCCAAGGACAAAGGGAAAGGCAAGGCTGAAGTGGTTGAGACACAACGCCCGCGGAATCAGAATGTTCGGCCACGGCTCATGGCTGATTTTCGTTCAAATAAACCACCTACGGCTTTAACGGGGCCCGCTATTGTCAAACCTATGATGGATTATAGCACCGATGAAGATAGTGGGACGGCGGTTTTGTGCAGGAAATGTAGAGCGAAGGTCGACAGTGAACCAGATGAGAAGCCTTCTTCGCAACCCGTGGCCGTAACTCGGCAATAGATAGCCAATGAAGGCCAACATCATGGGGTTTTTGGGAGGCTCGGTCCTAAAGTACGGATGGAAGAGACACCCCCGGTCAGGCGGCGCCTCGATTTTGATGCTTCATTTTATGACGATGATTACTATAAGCGTAATTCTAGCAGTTCAGGATCATCACGGAGTCAAAAGACCTTCAGGCCTCCCGAGCCTAGAGATCAACGTTGGTATACATACCATTCTTCGAAGGGCGTCTACACCGCGTTGTCCAAATCTCAGAAATGTCGGCATCAACGGATAGATTGCATGGCTCGCCGACAAGCAGCCCAAGAAACTTCGGCCCCTAAGTGGCGGCCGAAGGATACAGTTGCCACTGATGAGGAGCGACCACCTCCAGCAATTATGACAGAGTTGGCTCAGGGGAAACGGCTGGTCGATCAAGATGCCGAGACCATGTTTGAAGAAGCTGATAAACGGATCAAACTTCTCATTCGACCAGGGGAAATGAAGGCACGTCTTGAACATTTCAGGCAAGAGGCCAAAAACAAATTATCCCCGCGAGTTATACAAGAGCCTTTGGTCAAAATTCGACGGAATTTGCATCCCCCGTTCCTTGGGGAGTCTTTGGAGTATATGCGAGAATTTCATAAGAATCATTCGGCTAACGATCTGTATGGTTTACCGAAGGCATGCCAGGACACCATCGATCTGATCCTGACTTGTCCGGATGCCGAGCGGATCATCCAGAAGACCTCAGATCCATGATTGAAAGCAAGGTTCCAGCACATACGAGAAGCTCGTGTCTTTGGATTCAAAGTCGACCCGTACACCGATATCAATGCAGCCGACCTTCCTTTCTCGCTGGAGGACCTTCAGTATTTACGATCTCACTTTGAAGTATTTTCGACGGTTTCTCTCTTCGGCCTTACGACCAATGAAATCGCACGTATTGCCCGTCTGGATGCTTATCTCAACACTAGGGATGCTCGGCTACACTACCAGGAGCAGGTTCAGGTCCTGACCCCAAGTTCATTGTCAATCTCAACCTTACCTGAGGCAGTCACGCAGAACCAACAAGTCGTCGAAGCAGCTCCGCCGAGTGACGTCATTGAAGAAGGGACAGAAGAGTCTCGTTGTCCGACTTTGACGACAACTG